CCCCGCAAACTCGACTGACCGCTTCTTGGGGGTGCAGGTCTCCCTTAATGATTGCTCAGCCGTGCAGGATGCGCTGTTGGCCGAGAAAGTTTCTGCCAGAATCTCGGGCTGGGTCCGAAGTCACAAGCTCTCCATCTATGGAAGAGCTATGGTAATATCAGCAGCCGCATTCTCTCTATTATGGTTCCCTCTATCAATTCATTTAATAGGGGAAGATGCTTACTCAAGAATCAAGAGGGCGGTTGCACGCTATCTATGGAAACCGGCAGCGTCAGATCATCAAGGCTTCATTCCAAAAGTGGCCTGGGAAACTGTCACCACTGAGAGGGACAAAGGGGGGCTGGGGATTTTAGACCCCCTACATCAGAACCTGGCTCTTCTCTGTAAATGGGTGGTCTCCGGCACTTGGGGCAACAGAGAGAGGCTGTGGGTGAAGCTTGCCGAGTATATACTCAGGTTGGATTGGGGTCTCCTCAATGCCTCAGATGTGTGGCGATGCATGTTTATCCCCTCCTTTGTCCACCGCCGCCCAAAGTCAAGGTTGTGGAGAAATATCCTTTCGGCGTGGTACAAACTGTTCCCGAGGGATAGACTGGAACCTACTACAGAGCATGAGGTGATGAATCAATTTCTATTTGAAAACCCAGGAGGACAGGACTCCTTTTGCTGCAAACGGTAGCAGGGGCAGTTTTGGGAAAGCCTGGGTGGAGAGAGGGGTTATCCAGCTCAAGGACTGCTGGGACAGCCTCGGGTGATTGGCACCCAGTGCATGTCCTGCGCATCGTCCTACCTCGATGCCATAACGTAGAATCGAACTATGAATCTATTAAGAAAGCAGTCCCGGACTTTTGGCTGCGCATTGCCCGCAACTCCCGGGAGGCTCCAGCCGGAGCCTGGCTTATAGACCCCAAAGTCCCTGGACAGTTCTTGTATGTAGTTGGCCCGGAAATTCCAGAAGGGGTAAAAGTCCAAGTCTGCAAGGCCCCCAGTACTCAAAGAAAAATAGGGCTATTGAAACACAGTGGTGAGAAAACTCTGTCATCAACCGGGGGGTACTTGGAGAGTAGAGTCTGGTCCCCTGACCCATCCCCCTCCCAGTCCACTCAAGTTATCCTGCTACACGAGACGCCTCGGCTCTACACGTGGAGCCGGCCCTCTGTGGATGGAAGGGCCTAACTTCCCCGAACTCTTTCTCCCCAGCCTATCAGTACAGAGCAAAATGGGGTGTCATCATCTGCAGATCTAAGGTTAAGAAGCAGGCGGTTGTCACTGCCTCCATGCGCTTAAGCAAGGAACCTGGTTTCCAGCTGGGGTCTCTAGATCTACACAGCCTGTGGACTGGGTTGAAGAATATTCCCTCCCAAAAACAAGCCAGCATTATGTGGATTCAGTCAATGCTGGCTACTCCCTCTGCGTCCTGGCTAACTGCTAAGGGAATGGATATGTCTGAAGTGTGCGCTAGGTGCTCCTGGGGATGGGAGACTGCAAGTCACATCTGGCTCTTCTGCTTCTTCGCTCACCAACTTTGGTCCTGGTGGCGTCTGCACTGGGAGTCTTTAACAAACGGGGAATTTGTATGGTCCCAGGAGTGGACCCTGTATGGGAACACTCCTCAAGGCGTAAACCTCTCTGAAGGTTGGGGCTATGTCGCTCTGGCCTGCAGGGGTGCTCTCTTTGAAACCATTTGGAAAGCCAGAAACAGTGCCGTGTTCAAAGGAGAACAAACCTCGATACAAAGCCAGAAAGCCCTGATGAAGAACTTAATACGGTTATCCATCAGGGCAGACTGGCTCGCTGTCAAGACACATTCGAAGAAAAATATGCGATGGTTTAGCCAAGCATGGGCCAGAGACGGGAGACTAGCTACAATCCTACCGGACAACAAGATGGAAATCTGTACTTGGCTTCAAACGGCGTAGGGACCTCATACAGGGCCGACTACAGCCCCGACAAGACGGTAAAGCTAAAGAGCTCTGCTACAAACCGCCTTCTGTGCTTTGGTGGCTCCTTCCGGTGATTATCTCCATTCGGTGCTCTGCATAGGGTTGTGTTAGACCCTCTGGTTTTTACAATCGACTTCAGGTGAAGACACTTGGCTCTCTCTTTGTTATTTCGGGCTAACACAGGATAGGTAGTTAAAAAAGATCAGGACTTCAGGGCATAGGGCTGTGGGTTGTTTTTAGACCGCATAGGTCTGACTTGGTAACTTGCTCTTTTTAGAAACATTTAGCAGCAGGTGTAATCTGTTTGTCTGTCCATTTTTTCCTTTGGGTTTGGCCTGTTAGCCGGCAAAACCAATGTTTCCTCAGATGTAGAGGCTGAGAATTTCAGTATCCAAGGTCAAATAGGCTGAACTCTTCAGTTACAGGGAA